ATCTTTTCGTCTCACTACGAAGAACCCGAATCCACTTTGACCCGACCTAAATTGGAAGTGGACCCCACTGATAATTGTACCACAAAATAGCCACTTAATATTTCATTTTATGCCATTTTAATGCTATTCTTCCAACAATCCCCCACATGAATGAAAAATTGATTTTCAGGGTATTTTGAAATCGGAAACAAACTGTGTTCAACGGTCGATCCCTACATAGGATAGGTAGGGATCACTATACCCTTTGAACCTTCCCTTGTAAAGATATGTTTACTCTACTGGCTGTACGGTAGAACGCGATGTCTTTGAACCGACTGCCGTTTGTGTAGACGATGACATATCTCACACAGGAACCTCCCAACCATGCTCTATTCTCATGAGTGTGCCCATTTTGGTTGTGGGTCACCGTCCTGGTTCTGCAAGAGTTTGTGAAGAATTGTGCCCATCAATTCTCCTTTGAAGCGACCCTCACTTCTCTCTCACATAGGTGATTCTTTTCCGAGTATCCCGCATACTCACACATGTCAACCGACATTCGAATCATTAAAGCATCAACATGCTAACCTTGCGCGGGAGTCACTGTTTCTAACGAGGAGTGGTAGGGAGTCCGAGACCCCCACAGTGACACGCTTCGTTCCATAATTTAGTTGTCCCATTGAACCTAGGTGCTAGCTAGGTTGGGTATCCACTATAGAACTTTTAGTCCAAGGGCTTTAGACCCATTCCTCGTTCCAATTTCTCCACAACCATTTGCTTACCCTCGGGTTAGCGAGTAGGGATGGCAATGGGTCGGGTGTGGGTCGGGGAGGGCTACATCCATCACCCGACCCACCTTATATTTTCTCCACCCACCCCCACCGGGTGCGGGTGCCCACTACGGGTACCCACCACTTATCATCTTATTATGTTTTTCAAAAAATAATATTTAAATTATTTACACATAATAAAAAAATAAAATCCATTAGTGATACTAAAACATAAATAATGGAAATATTTAAATATAATAACTAAATTGTTAATTTTTAAAAATAAACTTAGTAGTTTTGATATAAAAAATAGTAAAAAGATACACAGAGTTATATAAACTATTATAAATAACTACATACTAGTATTTATTTTACTATTATATATATATACACACACACATGGTGGGTCGGGTGGGGTTCTAGGCGGGTCTTGTACATAGAACCCGAATCCAACCCGACCCACCGCGGGTTTTCTTTTTTAAGACCCACCCCCGACCCACCACCCACCATCACCCAAAAAAACCCGATCCATGCGGAGTGGATTCGGGTGGATATCCACGGGTCGGATTGAAATTGCCATCCCTATTAGCGAGTTAGCGACCGCTACGTTATCTTTTGACATCACGTAGTCAATAGAGATAACCCCCGTTGTGAGAAATTGTTTAATGGTATTATATCTACGACTTATAAGTCTAGACTTACCATTCCACATTTAACTCTGTACTTAACCAATTTTTGGCTTGACTATCGCAATGCACACAAATTGGAGGTACGAGTTCACCACTAGGAACATTCTCGAAATAATGGCTTAGCCATTCGGCCTACTCGCTCGCGACACGAGTGTAAGGCTCTCAGCTATGATCCCGTCGGATCTTAGTTATCACAAATCATTTTGAGAATTTCCATACAACCAGCTGCACTAGCCTACGTAAAGACATAGCCTTTAATGGACTTAGCGTCCTTTGATATCTGTGCTATACTATCCAGGTACAGCTAGATATCCCACGTAGTGCAGTCCAAAGTCACGAGCATACCTTAAGTATCTCATAACTCTCACTATTGCCTTCTAGTGCGTAACACTAGGGTTACTCTAATGTCTACCGAGTTCGTTAACCACAAAGGCAATATCCGGCCTAGTACAACCCATTAGATACAATTAAACTACCAATAATCTGAATGTACTTTCCACGAGAAGTACAATCTCTGTGATTATTAGCTAGTTGTACGTTAGTATCTAACGTGTCCAAGCCACTTGATTATCATCCTTTACAAGGATTCAATCAAACTTAATGAGATTGGCTTACCACGATACCATACGGTCTCTTCACGATTTTAATCTCGAAGATTAAATCTGCCAAACTCACACCTGTCATGTCAAATCTCAATTTTAACATGTTTCTAGTAGAATTGATCATTTGATCGTTACTACTCACGATGAGTTTATCGTGTACAAACAAACAGTGATATTTCCGTCTATCGTACGCAATACGTAGACCCACTAGTCACTTTTATTTATACTAAACTTGTTGGTCATCATTGCATGATCAAAACCTCACATGCCAAACACTACGGCAATTGTTCCAAATCATACCATGACCTTACCAATTACACACTTTCTTTTCACATCGTGGAACCACAGACCCTCAGGTCGTTCCATGTCTACTAAGAAAGCGACACATCCATTTCGATGAACTTCCAAGACTCGCTAAACGACTTTGGCAAATATCATTCTAATGGATTCCATTCTCATCACAAGAGAATATATATCGAAGTAACTGTGGCATTCGCGTTGCATGTAATC